AAATAATGCTGCTATGAACATGGTTGAACATATGTCCTTGTTATATGAAAGTGCTTCTTTTGGGTATATGCCTAGGAGTGGAATTGCTGAATCTTGTGGTAGACTGATTCCCATTTTCTTGAGGAGTCGCCATACTGATTTCCACAGTGGCTGTACAAGTTGGCACTCCCACCAGCAGTGGAGGAGTGTTCCTCTTTCTCCGCATCCTCTCCAGCATAAACTGTCATTAGTCTTTTTAATTTTAGCCATTCTGACAGGAGTAAGATGGCATCTCAGAGTTGTTTTGATTTGCATTTCCCTGATGACTTAGGATGTTGAACATGTTCTCATATGTCTTTCAGCCATTTTAGATTCCTATATTGAGAATTGTCTATTTAGTTCTGTACCCCACTTTTTAATTTCATTGTTTGATGTTTTGGTGGCTAGCTTCTTGAGTTCATTTTATATTTTGGAGATCAGCCCTCTGTCAGATGCGGGGGTAGGTGAAGATCTTTTCCCAGTCTGTGGGCTGTCATTTTTGTCTTACTGACAGTGTCCTTTGCCTTACAAAAGCTTCTCAGTTTCAGGAGGTTCCATTTATTAATTGTTGATCTCAATGTCTGTGCTATTGATGTTATGTTTAAGAAGCACTCTTCTGTTGAAAGGTACCTCCCACTTTCTCTTCTAAGAGACTTTTAGACTGTAAAAATAATTTTTATAATAATCATCCTAGAGTTTAATAGTTCTCTTCTAAGAGATTCACTGTGGCTGTATTTATGTTGAGGTCTTTGATCCATTTGGACTTAAGTTTTGTGCATGTCAATAGATATGGATCTATCTGCAATCTTCTACATGTCTGCATCCAGTTATGCCAGCACCATTGTTGAAGACGTGTTCTTTATTCCATTGTATAAGTTTAGCTTTTTTGTCAAAAATCAAGTGTCCCTAAGTACGTGGGTTAATATCAGGGTTTTCATTTTTATTCCAATTGTGCTTGCTTTAGCAGCACATATACTAAAATTGGAATGATATAGAGAAGATTAGCATGGCCCCTGTGTAAGTGTGCTTTTTTCTAAATGGAACATCAAACAAGTTGAGAAAATAAGTCCATAAACCACTTTATTTTCATCACTGTTATCAAGATAACAGTAAGCTAATATTCATAGAAGATATGTAGTTCAATAACATTGTAACCATAATTTAGGATGAAATTTTCTTACATAGAAAGATATTTTTGCCATTAACCATCTAACATGGTCATGCTTTGACAGAAGAGCTGATTTCAGAATATGGTATGTATGAAAATAAACTGAAGAATGAGAGATGAGAAAGAGAACAAACAACTTAAAAATGATTGTGGACTATGAGGACATCTTTTGTGCTAGTTATAAATCCTTTTCCTTTTTATATTTCCGGTTTGCTTGTTTATCATAGCTCTGGGTATATTGAAAAGTAATTTCCATACTTAGCTTTTTACCCTCTTTTCAGGCTATAGTTTTTTTAACTCAGTGATGGTGGTTTCATGATGACAAAGAACTTGGAACAGTTTTATTTTAAAAGTTGAATTTTAAAGAAATCAAAAGTATACACAAATCCAAAGATCTCAGCAAGATCAGAGACCATTCTGCAGAAGGTGGGGCCTATACTTAATTATGTATTTTTCACATTTAATGGACCTCATGACAAGAAAAGAATGTGTCATGTTCATTTTATTTCTTAGTGTAATGGGGTTGCTTTTTCCATTTATCCAAAGTTCATGTACTTGATATGGTTGGATGTTGGGTACTTAGAACATAGTCATGAAACTCTGTAATGCATTAGTGGTATCCAGACTAAAATGAGTAATGGGACTACCATCTATATCTGAAAATCCCACAAGGCCTCATTCCAAATATGCTGAATTTTTGTCCAATGGGTGAAATGTATAATTTTTGAGAGGTTTTTTGCTAGATTTTAAGTGACATAAACCTTTAAAAGCCATTATTCCTATGATGGTGGCATTTGTAAATTTTCATGTGAGTTTATTCTGCATCTGGGAATAAGAAGTACTCTTTTAGGATTTTGGAAATTAGAGTAGGATAGAATACTGGGCTAAGCTAATCAGAGGTGTCTAAACACTCGGGAAACAGGAAAGAGAACTGAAGGTACTAATGCATGAAGCCCTTCCATCTTTAGATTAGAAGGTTTTAAGTAGAACTAAGTGAAATCATTAATCGTGGAAAGCTTCTTACTTCTCACCCTATGCCACTAAACTTGATTTCTAGTAGTAAAGTTTTCAGAGATGCCAGGCAGTTTGGAGATGGAAGAGAAGGCCAAGGGTGCCTGCATTTTTTTGAAATCAGATGGCAGGAGACTTGTGGAAAAAGAGATGAAATTCACTTTATACTAAATAACCCTTACGCTCCAGGCATTTCGTTGCTATATACACCAATATTAATAATAGTTATGGTGATAAGACTATTGGTGTGCTTCATGCCTCAAGTATCATATTCTTTAGTAATATTTATGTATTGACTCATTAATTGCTTACAAAATCCTTTTAAGTTAGTCACTACAATGTCCTTCTTTAAAGTATCTCCTTGTAAAAAGAATTCACCTGGGCACACACAGGCTACCTGGTTTGCTTCATTGTCAAAGAGTTGGACAGGGAGAGATTCTGCTTTCAGAGAATGGCATTCCAGAGCCAGTCCATGCTTTCATTTATCATCTATATTTTTGGGGGAATTTCTCATACTTCTCTGATCAACCACTTGAAAGTCGGTTTCCTGTGTGTAGTACTTGGGCTTTTGTTAGTTTATGGTTCTTATGGGGAGCCTTGTCAACCAATTGGAATCACACACACACACACACACACACACACACACACACACACACACACACACTTGCAGGTGGAGTTTTCTGTGTCCCAGCAGCTGCTAACAAATAACCTCAAAGTTGATTAATATTAATTATGAACAGTTGACTAATAGCTCAGGCTTGTCACTAGCTAACTCCTGTTACTTAAATTAACCCATATTATTCTACATTTTGCTATGTAGTATTTTCTCTCTTTCATCTTGTACCTTCTGTTTCCTCTGGTATCTCACTGGTGACTCCTCTGACTCTACTCTTCTTCCCAGTGTCCTTAGTTTGTTACTCAGGCCTAACTTTATCCTGTCTAAGTATTGACCAGTCAGATTCTTTTTTTAAAGCCAATCACAGTGACATATATCTACACAGTGTAAAGGAATATTCCACACTTTATATATTTATATATTAGCCTGGTGGTAGTGGTTTATGCCTTTAATCCCAGCACCCTGGCAACAGAGGTAGGCAGATCTCTGTGACTTAAAGGGCAACCTGGTGACTATTGAACTCTACAAAGTAAGTTCTAAGGAGGCCAAAGCTGTCACACAGAGAAACCCTGTCTCAAAAAAGCCAAGAATTAAATGAAATTATTTTAGGTAATTCCAAAATAACATATTTCCTTGAGGCTTTAAAACAAATTGGTGACATCTATTCTCTCTCCTTCAAAGGTAGGCCCTCTTTATGTTTTTCCATTTCCCACTTCACATCATCTTTATCCTGTTTTTCCCTTTCAAAACTTCTACTCACCTATGGTCCCTTCATAATTTCCTAGTTTCTATGGTGACTCCATGCTGTATATTCACTACAGAAGATTTGGAGCTAGGAAGAACATCTGAGAAAGAACATAAATTTGTTTTTCTGGGTCTGGGTACCTCATTCAACATCATTTTTCTTAGTTCTATCTATTTCTCTGTACAGTCATGATTTCATTATCTTTTATAGCTGAATAGTATTCCATTATGTATATGTACAACTTTTTCATTTCCCATTCATCTGTTGAAAGGCATCTTATTTTGTTTCCATTTCCTGGATATATGAATAGGATGGCAATGAACATAACTGAGCAGGAATCTGCAGAACAGGATGTTAAGTCTTTGGATAAGACAAGGAGTGCTATATCTAGAGCATATGGCAGATTTACTTTTTTTTTTTTTTGAGGATTATCCTTATTTATTCCAGAGTGGATACACCAGTATGTGTTCCTATCAACAGTGAATGAGAGTTCTGCTTTTGCAAAAACCTTACCTGCATTTGTTGTCAGTTGTCTTTTTGATCTTAGTCATTCTTGCTTGTGAAAGATGAAATCTCAAAATTGCCTTAATTTACATTCCCAGAATTAATGAGGATGATGAACACGTTTTACTGCATTTATTAGCTACTTTTATTTCATCCATTGAGAATGCTTTGTTTAGATTCCTAGCCCATTCTATTGGATCATTTGTTTTCTTGACTATTTTTGAGTTCTGTGTATATTCTAGATATTAGTTCTCTGTCAGATGGATAGCTGGCAAGGTTATTTCTCATTTCAAGTTTCTTCTGTGCTTAGTTGATTGTTTCCTTAGCTGTACAGAAGCCTTTAGTTTTAGGAGGTCCAAGTTGTCAATTGTTGGCTGTTATGCCTTGGAGAATGGAGTCCTTTCTCAGAAAGTCCCATCCTATATCTATATTTTCTAAGATTCTAATTGTCTTCCTGCAGGTTTAGTGTTCCAGGTTTCAAATTCAGGTCTTTGATACACTTGGATATAATTTTTGTAGATGGTGATAGATATGGATTTAACTTGATTCTTCTGTGTATGAAGATTGAATTTTCCCAGCACCATTTATTGAAGATGTTGTCTTTCCTTCAGGGTGTGTTTTAACATTTATCAAATATCAGATGTCTGTAATTAAGAATACTCATGCACAGATATTTTATTTTATACAACTGGTCTATATGTTTGTTTTGTGACACATTTTTTTTTTTTTTACTTTGGGACTGTTTTCACCCCTCTCTCACAAAGTTAGGAGAGACAGTCCACCCAAAGACAAGGGGTCTTTGAGACAAACATGCTTTCTTCTAAAAGAGGATGACTGGATGGGGATGACGCCTAATTCCAGAGGCAGCTTCTTGGTCAGTGCAAGTAGAATATGGCAATTTATGTTGGCTTTCTTGTCCATCTTCTCCCTGCCACATGCTTTCTCAGTAGTTCTCACTTGAGGAAAAATATAAAAGGTCATTCAACAATAAAAAAGCTTTTGCATAGTACCCATGCAAATTAACTCTAAGAAAAGGTGTCTTTATTCCTTGGTGGCACATATTATATTTATTTTTTAATATCTTTGACTTGGTCATTGGTCTGTGTCAACCTAGACTGTTATGATTCTTTACTAAGCTTCAGCCAGCCAAGTTCCCTGTGCCTTTTAGTACTATGTACATTAAGCTTATCAAGTTACCAATACAGAGTTCACCACCCTTGTCAACAAATAACTATCACTTGAATTGCTTAAGAGAAATCTTATCTTCTTTCAACCTGAGAAGTACTGGAAGGTTTAAGTCTTTTTTTTCTTTTAGTCATTGTTGCATTCATTTGTTAGTTTCTTCTAATGTATTGATTTACTATATGTTATTTCTTGAAACTTTTCTTTGTATTTGCATTGACTGATCCTTGTACTTTCCATTAAATATATTAGGAAATTCTTTTATATTTTCCAGTTTATTGAGAGTTTAAGAGTGTCAGAAATTGGTTTTGTTGTCTTTTAACACTACTCATGAAATATGCTTCTGTGTTACATGGGCTTGACAGCTGTTGATATTTACTGATGATAATATCTTTGTCTAGGGCTGCAATACTCCCCCTTCTTGACAGGAAATTTCATTTTTTTTTCTTTTAATTTGTGTCATAGGTGTCCAAGCACTCAATTTCTTCCTTTCTTATAACTGGTCCTAACTGAAAACTTTTTGGAAAAGCAATATTTGGCAGTTTCTAGACACTTACCTCTTCTACACCTCTAAGGGATGAATTTGATCCATTGTAAGTCCTTACAGAGCCTCATAGCCCAGACTTCTCTACTTCCAAAAGACAAGTTATTTAAGTTTCAGAAGAGAACAAAATTCAATGTCTGTAGAACCCTAAAAATGCTTACATCATTGGTGAGCTTATCAGAGATGGTTCAGATGACCTCTTCTGCATTTTTCCATTTAAATACTAGCAGGAACAAGACTCTCAGTAGCTCAATAGATAAATGAAGAATTATTTATGAAAGTGACTCT